TAAAATAAATAAATGAAGTTAAATAAAATAATTCTTAAAAAAAAAAAAAAAAGTGATATGAAAGGGGACCAGCAGGTAGCATGGTGGTTAAGGTGTTAGACACTTCCGCATGGCTGACTGTGGTTCAAATCCTGGACTTGGTGGCTTCCTTTCTCACTTTCCCTCTCTCTAGCCAAATTAACATAAATGAATGAATAAATAAAATTACATAAATAATTCTTTTAAAAAAGTGATATGAATTTCGAAGGGTAATGTAATACTCAAAAATGAAGGAAACAGAGAAAGCAAAGGCAAAAATCACTGTTTATATGTTGAAATTATTTTTGCAGACTATAAAACGTGGTCAGGAATTAGGACAATCACGAAGATTTCTGAATTTATAGAATATACAAAATAGTGCTTCTGTTTACAAGCATGTAGTCATACAATTCGAATAGAAAATAATTCAATTGAGAAACGGGCAGAGAGGCCAGCCCTGGTGATGCAACAATAGTGCGACCCTCCGTGATGCTGAGGCCATACGGGAAGGTCCGGGGTTCTCATCCCAACATCTCCCTGTGCACACACGTGTGCCTAGGACCCTGGCAGGCCGAGGGTAAGAGTCGGTGGGAAGACTGTTAGGGGTGTCTGTCTCTCTCTCTCTCATGTATGCCGACCCTTCACCTCCCTTTGTCATGGAAGAAGTAAATAAATAAACATAAAAAAAAAAAAAAGCAAAGACAGATCAGTCCTGCAGAGCAGTGGGTACGTGCCACATACAGGAAACCAGATCCCACGTAACTAGGGTTTAAGTCCTCACCTCAGTGGCTTGAAAAACACGGGGTGTTGCATGTGTACCCAAGATCCTGAGATGGACAAGTGAAGGGGAAAGGACCACGTGATCAGGCCCCACCGGGGGGTGGGTAAGGGCTGGGGTGGGAGGTTCTGTCTGTCTCCCCACAACCTCCCACAGGCACCCTCTGGCATTAAAAATAGGAGGGGAGGAACTGAGTCGCCATTTCTTGGAGGGAGATACACAAATGGTCAATAAATACATGAGAAGATGCTCGCGTCGTAAGCCATTAGGAAAATGCGAATCAAAACCACATGAGATACCACTTCTCACCGACTAGGATGGCTGTAATGAAAAAGAGGAGCTGCTGAGAAGGACGTGAGGGTAACCCTGTACAATGCTACGAGGGTTGTAAGACAGTATGGACGCTGGGCCAACAGGTGGCACGGTGGTTAAGGTGCTGCATTTCCGCATGGCCGACCACGGTTCTAGTCTTGGACGCGGCAGCTTGAAAATCACAACCAATAACTAGATGGTAAGGCCACGTCTGAGCAGTTTGGCATGTCTTTAGAATGTTAAACATGGAGTTACCGTATGACTCAGCAATTCCACTCCCAACTATTTTTACTCGGAGGAGCTCAAAACATATATTCACATACAACTAGTACAAGTCCATTCACAGCAGTACCGTTAACATAGACAAAGAATGGAAACGATCCACAGGGCCACCAGCTGATGAGCAGATAAAATGCAGTGCGCCCACACGGTGAAATAGTACTTGAAATAAAAGGAGGGGTACTGATACAGGCCACGGCATGGATCGATCCTGGAGACAGTACGCTAAGAATGAAGCATGCGCCAAAGTCACGCGTGGCCTGACTTCATTTCTGTGAAACGTCGGGAAGAGACAAAGCCATAGAACAGAAAGATCAGTGGCTGCCAGGAGCTTGGGAGAACGAGGGAGCAGGGAGTGACTGCTAGTGGGTATGGGGCTTCTTCTGGGGGCTGTAAGAATACTCCAGAGGCCCAACGGTGGGGGGGAGCCGCTGCAGAGGGCTGAGGCCTGGTGGGAAGCCAGGAGGCTGTGGCGGGAGAATCGCCAAGGCGTTACTCACCATGCCATGAAACCTCGTCCAAACATACCTCTCCCTCCCTGTTTCTCTCTCCACCCTTCTTCCCACTGTTTCTCTCGGACCGACCCGATGGGGAAAACATGCAGGTGAGAGTATAATTCGGTCAAGTCAAACTGAAAAACGTTGGCATCATCTAAGAAGGTTGAAGACTGCACCCAACTGCGACCGGACAACCTCAGTCTATGGGTTTGCGCATGGGCACTAAGACGTGTGCGGCATAGTTCAAGCAGCACTGCATTTCTATTTAGTTCATTTTATTCATTATCATTATTATTATTGTTAATTTGGCCAGAGAGAGAGAGAGAGAGAGAGAGAGAGAGAGAGAGAGAGAGAGAGAAAGTGAGAAAGCAAGTCGCCAGGTCCAGGACTCAAACTGTAGTTGGCCATGTGGGAGTCCAGCGCCTCAACTACCACACCACTTGCCGGCCCCAGCAGCATTATATTTCTTCCTTCCTTCCTTTTTTGGAGATGTTTTTTGCCATAGGGTGCTTGTATTTACCAGAGAGACAGAAAGCGAGAAATCACCCCCCAGGGGGGATGGCCATGCCACAATCCCTTCTCCTCTATTCTCCTCTCGGGATCTTGGGCACCCACGCACACACGCCCGGCGTGAGTTTAAGCCACTGGGTCTGGGACTCGGGCTGCAGTGGACTACGTGGGAGTCCAGCGACATAGCCATTTCACCAACTGCTGGTCCCAGCTGCGCTGTATTTCAATGTCAAGAAACTAGCAACAAACTAAAGGTTTATCATCAGTAAAATGGACACAAAAATTGTTATATACTCACATTACTCACATAATGAGCTTTTTTTTTTCTTTTCTTTTTTTTGGAGAGGTTTTTGCTATAGGGCGTGTGCAATCGCCAGAAAGAGAGAGAGACAGAAAGCGAAAAATCACCCCTGGGGGGATGGCCACGCCACGCCACAATCCCTTCTCCTCCATTCTCCTCCTGGGATCTTGGGCACACACGTACATGCGCCCAGCGTGAATTTTAAGCCACCGGGTCCGGGACTCGAATCGTGGTCGACTACATGGGAGTCCAGCGACATAGCCATTACGCTAACTGCTGGTCCCTTTTTAAGAGTTTTTAAAATTTGAAATTGTGGATACTACTTGTTCTTTATTTTATATTTTGTCAAAAGGCACGCACGTGAGCTCACCAGAAGAAAAAAGAGAGCAAGTCAGAAAGCACCCTCCCTGGGGAATGCTGCAACCCATCTCCTTTCTTCCTCTCTTCCTTCTGGGATTCTGGGGGTGCATGTACACTCGCCCTGCACGTTTTCCAGCTTCCGGGTCTAGGACTGGAACTGCATAGCCAGCCACATGGGATCCAGCTGCCTGAACCACCATGCCACCAGCCGGCCCTGTACAGGGACTCCTTAGACTCCACATATATAAATAGGTATTCTTTCATATTTACTCAATATTTAATAAAAACGGTGTAAGAATTTGGAAAGAGGAAGAAGGAACAGTAAACTACGGTCACCTTGAGAAGTGTCACTGTAAGAGGGAACAGTGCGCACAGGCAGGGGACCACACGTACCCGGTCCCGCCCTTCCTTGCTCGACATTTAAACTTTCACCACATTCTTCCTCTTTGGATTCAATATTACTCAAGTGACTTTTTAAATAAAAATAATTTTATTTAACTTTATTTAATTATTTACTTATTCTTAATTTGATCAGAGAGGGACAGAGCGAGACACAGAGAGAGAGAGAGAGAGAGAGAACAAGCCACCAGGCCTGGTGGAACTTGAACTGTGGTCAGCCACATGGGAGTCCAGTGTCCTTAACCACCATGCCATCTGTTGGCCCCTCAAATGACATTGTTTTAAAGAATTATTTAACTTTATTTATTATTATATTATTTTCCAGTTTGATCAGATAGAGAGAGAGGGAGAGAAAGTGAGAAAGCAAGCCACCAGATCCAGGACTTGAACTGTGGTCGGCATACGGGAGTCCAGCACCTTTAACCACCACACCACCTGCCAGCCCCTCAAATGACAGTTTTAATCATAAACATAAAGTTAGGTACAGATGTAATAGGAGCACGTCATTACAGTGGGGTACAGTGTGCCTACTTCCTTTTGCCAACTGCCAGAAGATGCCCCTCTCCACCCACTAGAGGGAACTCAGAGACAGCTTTATTATTTATTTATTTTTCTTTCTTTTTTTTTGAGAGGTTTTCACTAGAAAGACAGAGAAAGAGAGACAGAAAGCGAGAAATCACCCCCCATGGAGAATGGCCACGCCGCAATCCCTCCTCCTCCATTCTCCTCTCGGGATCTTAGGCACACGCGCACACGTGCCCGGTGTGAGTTTAAGCCACCGAGTCCAGGACTCAAACCGCGGTCGACTACGTGGGAGTCCAGCGACACAGTCATGACGCTAACTGCTGGTCCCATAGCTTTATTATTTTTTAATTTGCTAGAGGGTGCGTGTTCACACCAGAGAAACAGAGAAAGAGAAAGAACGGAGGGCGGACAGAGCGTCCACCACGGGGCATGGTCGCGTCGCCGTCACTCTCCCCGTCCCTTCCACGGGACAGTGTGCAGGCACCGGCACTTTTCTACAGCCTTGGGGCTCGGGGCCGTGACTTGAACTGCACAGTCGGCTGTGTGAGAGCACACGCTTCTGCTGCCAATCCAGGGGCTGCCCAGAGACAGCATTTCACCAAGAGCTGACGCTGACGCTAAGGAGGCCCAGACGAGGTCCTGGGAATTAAGGATAAATGACATCTCTGAAGAGCAAATTTAGTCAGGAGACAGCCAATTTAGATGCATGTGGTATGGGTGTAAGTTCACAAGAACAAAAAGCAATGTAAGTTTTTTTTTTTGGGGGGGGGGAAGGTATTTGCTATAGGGCGCGTGCACTTGCCAGAAAGACAGAGAGACAGAAAGCAAGAAATCACCCCCTGGGGGGATGGCCACGTCGCAATCCCTTTTCCTCCATTCTCCTCTTGGGATCTTGGGCACGCACACACGCCTGGCGTGAGTTTGAGTCACTGGGTCTGGGACTTGAACCACGGTTGAGTCCAGTGACATAGCCATTATGCTAACTGCTGGTCCCTGAAAAACAATGTAATTTTTTGGATAAAAGCCCTAAAATCACTATATAATCTGCTCAAGGTTTCGATTTGGTGCTAGCAGCATAGATGTTGTAGAGGTCTCCCGTTTTCTACAACAGCTTTAGCCAGTCGGGGCTGGCGTTTACTCCGGGACACGCGGAGGCTCTGGCTGACGCACGTACCTGTGATATGACCTTCTAGAGCCTTCGGCACCAGGGACTTAGCGAGCTTCAGATCCTCCAGAGAGCATTTGCCGGACTCCAGGCCGAAGGACATCCCCATCCGCTTCAGTACCTCTATGTCGTCGTGGATCTCAAAGGTGTTGTCGAAATTAAAAAGATATTCGAACCTGCAACGTAAACCACGCTGGCGTGGGGCTGTCAGCGGTGTCGCGCCCTGCACTTCACCCGGCAGGATGGGAGCCTAAGTCAAGCCTGCGGGTAGAAATGACTCCCATTTGTGGCAGTGGGTCATGCTGCCGTGTTTAGGGCAAAGGAGGGACACCTTCCATCAACCACTTCTGCAACTGAAGTAACTTTCCAGTGACAGATACAGGAATCCATATACTTTAGCTCTAATGCTGTTAAAACAAGACACCACTTTTCCTTCCTTCCTTTTTCTTTCCTTCGTTTTCTTCCTTTCTTTCTTTCTCCCCCCACCCCCTTCCTTTCTTTCATAGCCAGAAGGTGCAGGCACCCACCAGAAAGAAGAGTATGAGAAGCAGCACCCCCTAGTGGGGCGTGGTCACGCTACAATCGATTTTCCTCCATTTCTCCCTCCTGTCGGGATTTTGGACACACACATACACACAAGTGCCTGGAATGTTACTCAAGTCCATGGGGCAGGATTCAAACCGCAGCCTGCCACGTGGAATCCAGCTCCCTTAATCACTGTGCTATAGGGTCAGCCTAGAAATCTAACTCTAAATTCAATACTTTTCAAAGTTTAGTCTTCGACTTTGTCACAAAAGAGCCTTTCTAGTTTCATACATGGTATCCTTAGAATGAGCTGGTCTATTATCTCTGAGGAAAAAAAAACCACTTGAATGCTTCTGTTTTCTTTTTTGCAGATTTTTAAATGAGAATTGTTTATTTTCATTTTATTTATTATTATGAGTCCAGCGCCCTTTCCACCACGCCACCTGTCGGCCCCAACTTACTTTATTTTCATGAGCCAAACATGAGCTATAGCATACTTTAGATAAGCAGTACATGAGAGATTTTTCAAAAACCAAAGCAACCCCCAAACCCTGGCTTGAGGGGCTAAGGAGTAAAATGTCTGAAGGGCTGCCTCACAGCACAGTGGCTAAGTCCTGCTGTATGGAGCTGGACCCCCACGGCTGACCATGGTTCGAATTCCGCCCCAAGGGCCTGAACAGCCCTGCGTACATGTGCACTTCTGAGTCTGCCTAAAATCCTGACTGGGTAGAGAAATGGGGAAAGGGCTACGGGGTACGCCTGCCCCCCGGGGGTGGTGTGATTTCTCTCTCTGGCAAGCACATGTGCCTTCTGGCAATGAAAAAAAAAGCCTTAAGGGAAAAACAGCACATAGAATCCACAGCATATTTCCAAATGTTCTTGAAAAATACACAACCTGAATGCCAAACACAAACTTTCAATTAAGAGGCAGTGTGGGAAGACAACTCTTTCTGACTCCTAGGTGCGGCCCTGGCTGCCTCTGCCCACAGGCCTCGGCCCTGCAGGGCTCAGAGAAAGCTCTAGGAGGAAGGTGAGTTTTATGTGGTGAGAAATGCTATTAAAACCACTGTGAGGGTAAAACTTTTATGCTAGCTTTTAGATCAAAGCAAGAATTACAATGTGAAACAAAATGTCCTATTTAAGTCATCTCAAGTATGTGAGTTTGAATAAGTACGACTACTTAGGAAAAAACAAAAACTGCAGTGGTGCCTGCCACAGGGACGATTCCAGGCATCTGTTCACAGCAGATGGTTTTGTAAATTTAATCCTCATTGTGGGAAGCCTTCTGGCTAATTAAGGGGAAAGATTGCAACAGCCCCATGACGGAGCAACCTGGGATAACAAGCTTGTACAAGCTGCTCGGAGCCTCCCTGCCTCCCCTCGGGGAGGGCTGCGCTGGGTACGGGCCAGCGACCACCCAAAGGCTGGAAACCTCACCAGTGCCTGGTCTGGAGTGAGCAGTCCCCGCAGCCCGCCGAGGCCACAGGCCTGGGGGCTCCTGTCACTCCTCAGATTGAAAAGACCAGTCTAAGAGGAGAACTGTGTAATTCCCCACGAAGTGGGGGACTAAGCAGAGGTGGAGCCAGGCTTCATTTTTCTGAAAAGATGCCGAACCGTTCCTGGAGGGCTCAGTTTTCCGAGAGTATCTTACTGGTCCTAGTAGACACAGATCTGTGAGTCGGTTTGCAAGCGTGTAATAATCCAGACACCTGCCATTCACTAGGCCGGTCCTCCGTGAACTTATCTGTAACGTCTGTAATTTACCACGCTGGGTCCTCCGTGAACTTATCTGTAACGTCTGTAAACTGGCGAGGTAAACACTATGGTCTTACGTTTGTGGGGGAAGTAATAAGATCTCAAAGCGATTTACAAACAGAAAAGACTGAAAAACGGACCTGGCCGACATCGCGGCCCGCAAGGTCCCTACTGTTTCCCATTGTGTCTCGTTTCGATTTTGAAATAGCTTTGAGATGTGCTCTTTTCCCTCTCATCTGTGTGTGTTTGTGTGTTCACGCACGCATGCACTTGGGCCATCTAATTTAAGTGACCCAGAATCTCCACACGCCTTAGATACAGGGACGGTGCCAGACTGAACAGAGTGGGAAAACGGCGGACAGGGAAGCCTGAGAGCAAAGCTGCGGCTCTAAGGAGGCCGGACGTTCGGGTCCCCCAGGGGGCCTGTGAGCTTATCACCGAGAGAGCCCTCCTCTGCTCTATGGGTCCAAAGTCCGTGACAAATTATACTGAGAGCCTGTGACAGCAGCCGCGTGGAGAAAGCGCTTGCCCTGAGTCGGACCCTTCTGAGGCACTCTCTCATTTAACCCTCACAAGACTAGGAAGTGACAGAGGCCCCAGTGTCTTTCCCAACGTGTCCGGGAGCACCTCAGCGGGGCGTCTCGGCCACGCTTGGGTCTGCCTCACTCTGTCCACCCTCGATCCTCTCATGACACTGGTCACAGCTAGAGGGCCACCAGCAGAAACTTCCATGGAGGTAAAATACACTGCGATCTAATTCTGTATTTTAAAAAGTGCCACCTCTCATTTGCTTTGATGAGTATTAATGTCTCAGTTAAAAATCTAAAAACTGGGACCAGCAGATGGCATAGTAGTTACACCACTTGACTCCCGCATGGCTGACCACGGTTGGAGTCCCGGATCTGGCAGCTTAAAACTCACACTGGGTGCATGTACACCAGGTGCATGCGTGCCGGGCGCGTGTGCATGCACCCCCAAGTCCCGAAAGGAGAATGGGGGAGAAAGGATTGCGGTGTGGTCAAACACCCTGGGGGGTAATTTCTCACTTTCTGCCTCCTTGTCTCTCTGGCGAGTACATGCACCCTGTAGCAATCTCTCTTAAAATCTAAAAATCTTTAAAATATCTCTTAAAAAAAAAAAAACAAAAAAAAAACCTAAAAGTGGGGGCCCGCAGGTGGCATGATGGTTAAGGGCACTGGATTCCCACATGGCCAACTATGGTTCAAGTCTTGGATCTGGCGGCTTGCTGGTGGCTTGCTTTTTCACTTTCTCTCTCTCTCTCTTTCTGTCCCTCTCTGGTCAAATATATATACATATAAACAGAGTTATTTATATATTTATAAATAAATAGTTTAAAAAGTCTCAAAGTAATTATTTTTCAAAAAAGAAAAGAAAAGACCATGCCTAGCATCTTCATGTGTATCCATCCACTCTCTGATAAACTGACACACTTACGACGACGATGGAGCAGAACCAAGAAATAATCGCTCATGCCACGTTGACCTAAAATATTTCTATAATAACCTGAGACAGCGAGTCATCAACCAACCCACCCTGCCCAGGCCTCAGTGACGGCCTGACTGCAGCCGTGTGCTCAGAGTTACCGATACACCGAGGGGCACACCACAGCGCGGGCCCAGGCACAGCCACGCGTGGAACATGGACGCCCAGGGTCTGGCCCGGGTGGGGAAGGAGGGTGAGTGACGGGCCCGCAGTCCCGGGGACAGCCCCGAGGGAGCCCGGCTGCAGGGCTGCCGCGGGCGCGCCTTCCTCCTCTCGCAGTGCCGAGGGAGGGCAGTTACCGTCACGGTCACCGGGAGGCCACCCCGTCCCCGCCCAGCCTCGCTCACTTGTCACTGGAGATGCTGCAGTCGATGACCGTCTTCCTGCTGGTGTTGATGATTATGAAGGGCAGCTGGATGGTGGCGTTCACAGCCGGGGGGCCCTGGTTCTGCTGCTCATTCTGCCGGTTTCTCTGTACCAGGTTTTTGAAAGCGATTTGCTAAAGTGACCAATAGAAACGAGACGGCCATTCAATGTGGACAAACAAGCTGGACTTTAAATCGATGAGGATTACACATTTAAAACATAATTTAAACTTACAGGGTTAATTAGTTTTTAATTAATTTTTAAAAACCTAAATATCGGGACCGGCAGTTAGCGTAATGGCTATGTCGCTGAACTCCAATGTAGTCGATCATGGTTCGAGTCCTGGACCCCGTGGCTTAAACTCATGCTGGGCGCCGCCAAGATCCCGAGAAGGACAATGGAGGAGAAGAGATTGCGGCGTGGCCATCCCTCCGGGGGGTGATTTCTCACTTTCTGTCTTTCCATCTCTCTGTCTTTCTAGCGAGCGCATGCGCGCTATAGCAAAAACCTCTCCCCCCCCAAAAAAAATCTAAATATGTAAGAAAACTATGAGAATGAACCAACTCAAGTACATTTCAAGGAAAAAAAAAAAACAATCAGTACATTTAAATGGTATCTAGAATCATCCTGATGTCAGTAACTATCGGCCCTGGAAAACACTGCGTTTTACATTCTGTTTCACTACGGAGCCACCATTAGGCCCCTGAGGTACACCTTTTAGACTGTACAGCCCAGGGACATGCCAACATTCCAGAGCCACAGAACACTTTCTTTTTTTTTTTTTTCTTGGAGAGATTTTCACTGTAGGGCGCGTGCGCTCGCCAGACAGACAGAGAGAGACATAGAGACAGAAAGCGAGAAATCGCCCCCCAGGGGGGATGGTCACGCCGCAATCCCTTCTCCTCCATTCTCCTCTCGGGATCTTGGGCACGCACGCACACGTGCCCGGCGTGAGTTTTAAGCCACCGGGTCCGGGACACGAACCGCAGTTGACTACGTGGGAGTCCAGCGACATAGCCATTACGCTAACTGCTGGTTCCCAGAACACTTTCTTCATATACATTATCATGAGATGGGTGAGTAGGGGTGTGACAGTCAGGGCGCTGGAGCCCACATGGCTGGCTGTGCAGTTCGAGTCCCGGACCTGACTGCTTGCTGGGTGCACATGTGTGCGTGCGCAGTATCCTAAGAGGAGAGTGGAGGGGAAGGGACAGCAGCATGGCCATGCCCTCTGGGGGGTGATTTCTCACCTTCTCTTTCTGTCTCTGCCTAGTGCACTGGGCCTGGGCCTGGGCCCTACGCTCAGCCCACACTCACCACCAGAGCGATTTCTAATGCCCCTCTGCAAAGCTTCTCACACCCGGAGGGTACAGTTGGAATCCCCGAGTCACCTCAAACCTGTTACCTTCTAAAAGAGGAAATGAGGCTTTGCACTGGACTGTGAGACAGCAAGGGCCGAATCTTCATAGTGAGACTTGACTTGTGGCTACTTCCCCACCCCCTTTTGTTTTTTTTAATGGCGCAAATTGATGCTCTTAGCAAGAAAGACATTATGTGGTTTGGTTCCTTTTTCATCTGCCAAGACACAGGTGATGGCTGGGAAACTCCAGGAGCTAGAGCCATTCACGCCCTTTCATCGACTTGAGACATCCTGTCTCTGGGAATGGTGGATTCACTTTTTCTGTGTCTTAGTGACTGTGGGCTCAGCAGTGTGCATTTCAGATTCTGGGTTTTCGCTAAAGTTGGGTTAGTATTACTATTATCTTTAAGTTACTATTATCTTAAAATTACTATGATCTTTCCATCTCCCTAGAAATTAAAAAAAAAATTAATTTGTCAGAGGACATGTGTGACTGACCAGAAACAGAGAGACAGCACCCACTTTTGGTCTCTCGATTCCTCCCTCCTTTGAGGGCTTTGGGCACACACATGTATACCTAGCATGTGTTTTTGTTTGTTGTTTTTTTTTTTTTGAGAGGTTTTTGCTATAGGGCATGTGCGCTCGCCAGAAAGATTGAAACTGAGAGACAGAAAGCAAGAAATCACCCCCCAGAGGGGATGGCCATGCCGCAATCCCTTCTCCTCCATTCTCCTCTCGGGATCTTGGACACGCATGCACACGTGCCTGGCGTGAGTTTAAAGCCACCAGGTCTGGGACTCAAACCACGGTCGACTACATGGGAGTCCAGCAACATAGCCATTACGCCAACTGCTGGTCCCCCTAGCTTGTTTTTTCAAGCCACTGGGTTTGGGACTCGAACACCAAGGTCAGCCACGTGGTATCTCATCGCCTTCACCACCACGCCACCAGCTGGCCAACCCTTCCTTACTCTTTCTAGATGCAGAAAACGGAACGGATACTAGGGCTATTTTATATTTATTGGCTGACCTGGTTAATATTCAGGGGAACTAGGCTGAAAGCGTCAAACCCAGAAAAATGATGAGATGATGGTGCACCCTGCCTAGCCTCCTCTCCCGCCTGTGAGGACACACACCCAGAGCTGTGGCCACACCTCCGCCCGCTCCGTGCCGGGGGAGCGAGGCAGCAGTGACAGGTAGGAGGCCTCGCACGCCTATGCCTTCCTCTTTAGTACTGTGTACACTTAATTCGGGGATGTTTTTAGGTGAAGAGAGCATTAAAACCATACTGCTAACTTCAGAGTTTAAAAAAAAAAAAAAATCACCTCCCATTCGTTTTGGACCGATTTCCCGATCTGGGGCCGTGGATCTCCTCGGGTCCTTCTGACTCACTACCGGCTGCTCAGACTGAGCAGCCCTGGGCGTGTTCCGAGTCGCGCTGCATGTGCGGCCACTCCAGGGACAACGGAGAGGCTGGAGAGAAAACCGCACCGACCCTGGCAGGTGCCGGGTGCCTGGTGACCGCGGGGTAATTCGCTCACACGCTCCTCTCCACGTCACAGCGGGGCGGCGGTAGCAGTGTGTTACAGTCACCTGTGTCACGGGACATGGCGCTGCCGCCGCCAGGGCAGATTATTGGGCTAAATTTGCTTTCTGTGGAAATTCTGTGTTATTCGATGAAATAAAGAAAAACAAAACACGAGGAGGGGCCGGCAGGTGGTGTGGGATTAAGGCACTGGACTCCCACATGGCCGAGCGTGGGTCAAGTGATTTCTCACTCTCTCTCTCTCTGTCGGTGAGAACACAAGGCCCCCCCCACACACACACACACCACTAGGAAGAAATAAGCTGCAAGCCAGCAGATGGTGTGGTGGTTAAGGCTCTGGACTCCCACACGGTTGACTACCGTTTGAGTCCTGGACCTAGCGGTTTGCTTTCTCATATTCTCTCTCTCTCACTCTGTCCCTCTCTGATCAAATTAAAACAAATAAATAATAAAGTTAAAACAAAATAACTCTTTAAAAAATAATAATAATGATAAATAAAATGGAATAATCGAATCAAAAGAATTATTTTATTTAACTTTATTTATCCATTTATTTACTTATTTTTAAAAATCTGATCAGAGAAGGAAAGTGAGAGAGAGAGAAAGCGAGAAAGCAAGCTGCCAGATCCGGGACTCGAACTGTGGTTAGCCATGTGGAAATCCAGTGCCCTTCACCACCATGCCACCTGCTGGCCCCTGAATAATTCTTAAAAAAAAAAAAGAAATAAGTTGTAGGTTTACCAGAAGACCAGAAGCGGTTGTTTTCAGCTATACTTCTGGTTTTATATCACTGTTTAGACTGTCTAGAGAAACTTGTTTCTTTCTTCCTTTTTTAAATTTTTTTTAAAAAAAGGTATTTCATTTTATTGCCTTAGGGGGTTTGTGTGCCCCAGGGAGAGAGACAGACACAGTAACAAGGAAAGTGAGGAATAACCCCCTTGGGGGGTGGCCACGCGCAATCCCTTCTCCCGGGATCTTGGGTACACTTGCACACATGCCAGCACAATCCTGAAGCCACTGAATCCAAGCCTTGAACTGCAGTTGCCATGAGACATAAATAATTTTAAAAAACACACTTAGATGCAAAAGCAGGTCTTTTCTGTCTTCTTTTTTTTTTTTTTGGAGAGGTTTTTGCTATAGGGTGTGGGTACTCGCCAGACAGACAGAGAGAGACAGAGAGACAGAAAGCAAGAAATCACCCCCCAGGGGGGATGGCCACGCTGCAATCCCTTCTCCTCCATTCTCCTCTCGGGATCTTGGGCACGCACGCACACGCACCCGGCGCAAATTTAAGCCACCGGGTCCGGGACTTGAACCGCGGTTGACTACGTGGGAGTCCAGCAACATAGCTGTTACACCAACTGCTGGTCCTGGGAAATCTGTTTCTAAATGCTGACAGCTGGGTTGTCCCTGGGTTGAAATCTTCTATAAATACTTGGTTTGAGAGACAATAGAGGAAAAGAAATTAAGTAATTAAAACATACAAGTACATTGGCCCAGCAGGTAGCTTGGAGGTTAAGGTGCTGGATCCCATATGGCTGACTGCACAGTTCAAGTCCTGGACCCAGTGGCTTAAAAATCATGTGGTGGTAGGGGGCGGGGAGTGGCAGGTGGTGTGGTGGTTAAGGCCCCTGGACTTCCCACATGGTAAACCGCAGTTCAAGTCCTGGACCTGTTGGCTTGTTTTCTGACTCTCCTTCTCTCTCCCTCTCTCTCTTTTTCTGGCAAAACTCATGTGAAAAATAATAATAAATGAATAAAATCATTCTTAAAAATAATTTAAAAAATCATGCCACGGAGACCGGCAGATGGCATAATGGTTATGTTGATGCCCACGCAGTCGACCACAGTTCCAGTCCGAGACCTGGTGGCTTAAACTCACGTGCATGGATGCCCAAGATCTGGAGAGGAGAATGGAGAAGGGACTGCCACGTAACCATCCCCCTGGGGGGTATTTTCTTGTCTCTCTCTCTCTTTCCGGTGAGTATATGCGCCCTATAGCAAAAACCTCTCAAAAAGAAAAGAATCACGCCAGCCACATATGTGTGCGTGTCCCTAAAATCCCAAGAGGTGAGAAGTGACTGTCGTGTGGCCGTCCACCCCCGTGGGGGGGATTTCTCATCCCCCATCCCCAGTGAGTACATGTGCCCCGACAAAAATCTGAAATAGTACATCTAACGTTTCCTGAATCTTCTAAGCAGGAACAAAATTCAGCCTCACTCCTTGTGCTGGGCATCTCGCGATATGAAAATCTCACAGCCGAGGGTGACCTGGCTCAACACACTGCTTCTGATAAACGCATCACAGGCACGCTGACAAACAGGCTTTTTGGGTAACATATGCCAAAATTCAAGCCCCCAAATGTTCTGGGAAGGTTTCGTGAAAATTCCAGGAAGGCCCCAGGCACAGCGTGAGGACCCTGGGCTGGTTGGGAAACACTGCTGGTAACTGCAGGGATGAGGATGAGAGAGGCGGCCGGAGGAGGAAGAGGGCAGCCGGCAGTGGGGTCCCAGTGCTGGGCCCACTGTGCAGGGAGGAGCTTTCGCCCTGTTTCTTTCTTCTTTTTAATTGCCACAGGGTGTGTGCTTGCCAGGGAGACAGAGAGGAGAAGGCACTCCCTCGGCTGGGTGTGGCCACACCACAGTCCTTTCTCCTCCATCCTGCCCGGACGGTGGACCTGCATGCCCATGTGCCTGGCCTGCTCCTCCCCACCAGGGCCACAGTCCAAACCGCAGTCGGCTACGTGAGACCTGGCTCCTGAACCACTAGGCTGGAGTCTGCCCTCTGCCTTTTCTGAACTGCAGCACGTTTTCTTCAAATAAAACCTAGTGTGGAAATCAAATGCGAAAAATACGAAAATGTCTGCCCCAGTGTTAGCTCCGCAGGTAGGTCCAGCGTGAAAACCAGGCCGAGAACACAGGGAGAAAGAAACGGCCTCACTGATTTCGAGCAGCGTTTCTCGGCCTCCTCCTCCCGGGAAGGAGAGGAGCCCGCCAGGGCTCTCGGGAAGGCCAATCCTGTGCCACTGATTTCTACACACACGTGAATACCAAAACCAAACCAGACAGCAACTGTGAGCATCAAGAAACTCACCTAGAGTATTATATATAAAAGAATTACTTATTGGGGTCAGCAGATGGTGTACAGGTTATGTTGCTGGATTCCCGTATGGCCGACTGTGGTTGGAGTCCCGGACCTGGCCCTGAAACTCGCACCGGGTGTGTGTGCGTGCGTGTCCAAGATCCCGGGAGGAGAGCAGAGGAGAAGGGATTGCAGCGAGGCCATTCTCCCTGGGGGGTGATTTCTCCCTTTCCCTGTCTCTTTCTCTCTGGCAAGCACACACACCCTAAGGCAAAAACCTCCACAAAAAGAAAAAAAGAATTATTTATTTTATTTTTCTTATTATTCGTATTTAATTTGCAATAGGGCATTTGTGTTCACCAGAGAGAGAGAGAAAGTGAGAAAACAAGCCGCCAGGTCTGGGACTTCTGAACTGCAGTTGGCCATTGTGGGGAGTCCAGATCCTCAACCACCACGCCACCTGCTGGCCCCTCGCCTGAACCTGAAATATTGAAGAACACAACATATTCTGGCCATCAAACAGTGTGAGCATTGAGAACAAACTCTGCCATAACATTTGCTAGGGTATTGCTACTTCCATTTCTGAAAAGTGAAATACACCAAAAACGAGTGGGCTTGTGGAAACGGAAGCGGACTTTATGATCAGGTGTAAAGGGTTCCCACGGAGACAGTGCGCAGAGACGAGCAGAGCAAGAAGGCTCCCCAGCCCACTTAGGAAGTTCGTCTGATTAGACCGAAATGGAGCGACTGCACTTCCTGCTCCAAGTAATTTTTACGCCAAACGCTATCCCCAGAAATAGAAGAGAGAAGGAAAAGGGTCTATGTGCTCTGTGCTTTCACCTTACATGATTTTATAGAAGACCTCTATTATCCTTTAAAAAAAAAAATCATCCAAATTCTAAGCAATTATCCAAAAAAGTATCGAGATAGGGATCCTTATTAAAGTATAAAATTTATTTTCCTTAAACAAAAATGCATTTTAAGGTTTGGTATTTGTATAAACTTATCAAACCATTTCATGCCATTCTGTCATTTATTTTTATTTTATTTATTTTTAAATAGATAATGTTTTAAACAATGATTTTATTTTAACTTTATTTGTTTTTCATTTGACCAGACAGGGACAGAGTAAGAAAGAGAGGGAAAGTGAGAAAGCAAGCCTCCAGATCCAGGACTCGAACCATGGTCAGCCATGTGGGAGTCCAGCACCCTCAACCACCACGCCATCTGCCGGCCCCCATTCTGTCATGTATTGATAAGCTGAAACCTTTGAAACGTTCATGGAAAAATGGAATCAAAGTACAAATTCATTTTGCTGCAAAAAATTTTAAGTCCATGCATAGGTTTTTGTTTATAATTCCCATTTCCCACGAGCCTTTTTGTAATCTCTTGTATTATAGGTGGATCTGATCATATTTAAGCATCTAAAATGGAACATACCCTTTCTGTTTGCTATTCCAATTAGGGTTAAGATAAACATAAAAAGACTTTCTACAGTTTACTGCTCAGCGTCAGGAGAGCTGTCCAACTGTGGCCTAATACATGTCCCACACAGGGCAGCTGTCCCGGGGCCAGGATGCTGGTGGGGAGGGACGGAGCCATCCTAAAGGCAGCACCTGTGGATGGCGATGAGCCAGGACGTGGGGAGGCAGCCCGTGTGCCACCAGACACTACACCAGGGGACCACAAACAGAAGACACACCGACCGGAGGCAGGAAGGCGATGGCAGACACCCCGGCTTCTCACCTGCAGGAGGAGCTCTTGCAGCTGGGCCCGCTTCTGCTTTATCCGTTCTATCCGCCTCTGCTTTTCTATCTTTAAAACAGAAGTCACAGAGTAACATCAATGTATGTAAGATATAAAATATCACCCACGGGGACCAGCAGTTGGAGCAATCGCTATGTCGCTGGACTCCCGTGGAGTCGACCGCAGTTTTGAGTCCCAGACCTGGTGGCATAAACTCATGTCGGGCACGTGTGCGTGTGTGCCCACCCAAGATCCCGAGAGGAGAATGGAGGAGAAGGGATTGTAGCATGGCCATCCCCCCGGGGGGTGATTTCTCACTTTCTGTCTCTCTGTCTCTCTTTCTAGTGAGTGCACATGTCCTATAGCAAAAACCTCTCCAAAAAACAAACAAACAAACAAGAAAAACCCCATCTCATTCACCTTCAGATCCCCATTCTGAAATACCAATAATTTTTTTGGGGGGGAATAGTTTCTACTACAGGGTGCATATGCTCCATGCGGGGAGAGAGACAGAGAGACAGAAATAGAGAACTCAGCCCCCAGGCAGATGGCCATACCACAATCCCTTTTCTTCCATTCTCTTCTCAGGATCTCGGGCACTCACGCACAAGCACCCAGCGTGAGTTTTAAGCCTCCGTGTCCAGGACTCAAACCACAAGTGACTATGTGGGGAGTTCGGTGACATAACCATTATGCCATCAGCTGGTCCTGATACCCAGGATTGTCATTAAGAGAAACTCAACCCATTTTAACCACTGACATGAATAAAGGCTAAACCACTCTTTGAGGGAGGGGCAAGCAGGCGTGACAGCGAATTGTGGCAACTGTCACCCAAAATGACATCCCTCCACATACTGAATATTTAGTATGCAGTATTGGTTGCAATTACTAAAGTTCTTATCAAAGTAACAGCACCACTTAGATGACACTTACTCTGTAGGCCAGCACTCGACCAAGCATCTAGACACATTATCTAAATTCATCTTCATAAAAAACTTACGAGGTAAATGTTGCTGTTTCCATTCTGCACATGAGGAAGCGGAGACACAGCAGGATTACGTAACTACCCAAGGTCACACAGTTAATGAACAGCAGGAGTCAGGACTTGAACCTGTGCCATCTGGCTCCAGAGACCTTATTATTAATTACTGTGCTAAATTACCCCTCCAAGAATGAGGCGAGATCTTGTTTACGTTTAGCAGACTCTCAAATGAGCAGAACTGCTAACACAGATATCTCACATATTCAATATACAAAATTCCTACTTGTAAAAAGATGCTTTTAGGTACATTTCCTAAATTCGAACAACTGCTATATTTCCTCTTTTTATTTTTAAAGAATTATTTTAATTTTTTATTCACCATTATTTTTTTAAAGAATTATTTTATTTAATTGTGTTCATTGTCATTATTTTACTTATTGATTGATTGATTGAAGCTGACCTGAAAGAGAGACAGAGAGAAAGAGAAGGAAAGTGAGGAAGCAAGCTGCCAGGTCCAGGACTGGAGCCATGGTCAGACATGTGGGAGTCCAGCTGCCTTAACCACCATGCCACCTGGTGGCCTCACCACCATTATTATTTTTAAAAATATGAGCAGAGAGAAATAGAGGGAAAGTGAGAGAGCAATCCACCAGGTCTGGGACTTGAACTGTGGTCCACCATGTGGAAGTCCAGTGGCTTAACCACCACACTACCTGCCAGCTCCTTTCCTCACTCTTACAACTACCTAGAAAACAGGCAGATGAGGGTTGAATTTCCTTAGTAAAGTCAATCACAGCTGTTAACACTCATGAGGCCACAGGTCTGGACAGAGCTTCTACATGAGGCACAACAGACCAACCAACTGGAGTCACTCAGGTTGACACTCCCGCCATCACACTAAAACTAAGCTGTTTACCTGGCCTTCAGGAAATCAACAGAGAGACAACCGCTACATCCCCCAGCGGAAACTGGCCTGATAAGGGGGTCCCTCTCACCTTTATTTTTTTAAAATTATTTATTTACTTTTATTCGTTCATTTCATTTTAATTTGACCAGAGAGAGACACACAGAGAGAGAGAGAGAAAGTGAGAAAGCAAGCCACCAGGTCCAGGACTCGAACCATGGTCAGCCATGTGGGAGTGTCCAGCACCTTAACCACCATGGCACCTGCTGGTCCCCACCTCTCACCTTTACAAGGAAAGTAACTGAACTGACCAATCCACTTTTTTGTCTGCTGTGGCTGCTTTCTTCAGCCCTTCAGCCTATACAGCCAAACTCCTAGGCTCAGCTCACTGGAATACTTGTTCTTTTTTCCTTCCTCCCCCCCCCCACTATAGAGGATGCATGCACTTGCCAGAGAGACAGAGACACAGAGAGAGAAAGAGAAAGAGAGAGGAGAGGAGGAGAGAGAGAAGATAAAGCACTTCCACCTGGGGGATGGTCACTCTGGAAGCCCTCCTGGGACTTCAGGCGCGCACACACACGCACTCAGAGTGTTTCTCAAGCTGCCAGGTCCAGGACTAGAACTGGGCGGTCAGCCATGTGGGATGTGGCTGCCTTAACCCCAGGCCACAGAGGAATACTCACTCTGTTTTGAACAAGGAGGTGTTGTTGCCTGATTTTAGAATCACAAGTAAAAGTCAATTAACATCCTTATATTGTTGTAACTGTGTTTGACACAGCAAATAAGACATTTTTCTTGCCTGTTCCAAAAGTCCATTCCTTACCTGTCCCCTCCCCACCTGCTTCAGTCAGCATGAGTCTCAGCTCACGGCCCTCTAAGCACTGCCACACTTAGTCCCGCACCACGCAAGGACGTTTAGGTGGTGACAGGCGCACATACCAGGGTGGGCCCGTAGACTCTAACAGGCCACGTCCACAGCCCAGCTGCACAGGGGGCTACGCCGTCCACGACATGGGCTGTGGAAGTCCACATGCACGACTGCAGTGAGATTCATTGTAAAACCTGTCTGGCCTTCTGCATTTGAAAGGATGTTTCTCCCAGTATCTGAAATTCCGGCAGCCCGTGAACTGACCGCCCCTGACGCCCTACATTCAACCAGGCTGCACTGGTCCTACCTCCGAACACCTCTCCGGCCAGCTAGCTGGTGGTGTGGTGGTTACTGGGCCTGAATTCCAGGTGGAAAACCTCAGGGTTTGAGCCCTGGACCTGGCAGCTTGAGAAATAGAGTGGTGTGTGTGCTTGCATGTCCAAAATCCCACACGGAGGGAGAGGGAGGAGGAGGGATGGTGGAGTGACCATTTCCCGGGGGCAGGCGAGTAAGGAGTAAGCCTGCTAATGTAGTAAAGAAAGCAGAACCAAAAAACCCTCTCTCCAATCTCACGGCCGTAACTCGGACCATCTCCAGCCCCCCTCCCTGACTCATTCCCTTTTCCATCCACCTGCTAATTCCACTTCTGACCACCAGCAGAATGATCCCTTAACACAGGTTCTCCCGCCCCCCACCCGGGCCTTTCTAACTAATCATTAGCTCCCCACTGCTCGCCACTTAGAAACCCGCCCCTCTCCACGCCTGCCCACGCCCTGGCACACCCGGCTCCGGGCATGCTTACTCCTGCCCACCTTAGCCTCTGTGCTGCCTCTCCCTGGAACGCCCGCCCGGCCTTTATGCACCTAGCAAACTCCCAGTGCGCCCCTAGGGCTGAGCTCAGGGCTTCTTTCCGTGGTAGAGCCCTCCCTTCTCCCTCTATTCGGACAATCTACATACCCTTCCTTCACAGAAGCAATCACGTTTGATAATTCTTTTTTTTTTTTTTTTTTGGAGAGGTTTTTGCTATAGGGCGCGTGCGCTTGCCAGACAGTCAGAGAGAAACAGAGAGACAGAAAGCGAGAAATCACCCCCCAGGGGGGATGGCCACGCCACAATCCCTTCTCCTCCATTCTCCTCTCGGGATCTTGGGCACGCCCGCACACGCGCCCAGCGTTAGTTTTAAGCCACTGGGTCCGGGACGCGAACCACGGTCGACTCCGTGGGAGTCCAGAGACATAGCCATTACGCTAACTGCTGGTCCCATGTTTGATCATTCTTTTACATCTTCCCTCTCCCCAGTTAGAATAACAGCTCCTTGGAGTCAGAGATTTGTCTTGCATAACTTGTGGTTAAATACCTAGGAGATGCTAACAGGGCTTTGCTTACTACAGGTCATTAAAACGATGTCCAAATCCCACCTTTTTGTTTTGTTTTTTTAGCTTTTGATATGGGGTGATGCATTCACTAGAGACAGAGAGAGGGGGAGACAGAGAGAGAAAGTGAGACATTGCCCTCTAGGAGGAATGGCCATGCTGGAATCCCTTCTCCTCTTGGTATTTTGGGCACGCATGTACACGTGCTCAGCAGGTATTTCAAGCCACTGGGTCTGGGACTTGAACCACAGAATTGGCCACGTAGGATCTAGCACCTTAACTACCACATCAACTGCTGGTCCCAAATTCTACTTTATTAGAAGGAATAAAAATGAGAAAAAGAGGGCAAATTCCACTCTAGCATTAGAATAACACTTTTATTTTTTAATTTGCCAGAGGGGATGTGTGCTCACCAGAAAGAGACAGAGAGAGAGAAGGGGAGGGAGGAAGCACCCCCTACTGTGGGGCCCTATCATTTCGCAATCCCTTTGCCTCCATTTCTCCTTCCTGACAGGATTTAGGGCAGCACACACTCGTGCCTAGAGTATTTTTCGAGCTTCTGGTGTCAGGATTCAAACTGCAGTTGGCAAAGTGGGATCTGGCTCCCATGAGGCCCTGGTCCCAGTTCGATTCCTCTGTAATGGCTTCTCCCCCCATCCACAAGTACACAATAATTAATAATTCATTATTTGTGGAGTGCAGAAGGGACTGTGAAAACATGAAATCAACGTTAATTATCTCAAAAAGCCACATTTAGCTTCAGCTGACTCTATTCATGGCTAGTTTAGTGAAATTATGCGAAACCAATTTAGAATCAGTATGTCAGGAACATGCTATTTAGGAAATATTTTCTACTTATCGTTAACCAAACTGAAAATGTTTTTTGGAGGGGCCGGCAGGTGGCATGGTGATCAAGGATGCTAGAGTCCCACATGGTCGACCGTGTTCAAGTCCTGGACCTGGCAGCTTGCTATCTCACTTTCTCTCCCCTCGACCCCCACTCTGTTCAAATTAAATAAATAAAGTTAATAAAAATAATTCTTAAAAAAAAAAAAAGATACAAGGGACCAGCAGTTAGCGTAATGGCTATGTCGCTGGACTCCCACGTAGTCGACTGCGGTTCGTGTCCCGGACCTGGTGGCTTAAAACTCACGCCGGGCGCGTGTGCGTGCGTGCCCAAGATCCCGAGAGGAGAATGGAGGAGAAGGGATTGCGGCGTGACCATCCCCCCTGGGGGGTGATTTCTCGCTTTCTGTCTCTATGTCTCTCTCTGTCTGTCTGGCGAGCGCACGTGCCCTATAGCAAAAAACCTCTCCCCAAAAAAAGGATACAAAACAGTTTTGGAACCAGCAGTTAGCGTAATGGCTATGTCGCTGGACTCCCACGTAGTCGACTGCGGTTCGTGTCCCGGACCTGGTGGCTTAAAACTCACGCCGGGCGCGTGTGCGTGCGTGCCCAAGATCCCGAGAGGAGAATGGAGGAGAAGGGATTGCGGCGTGACCATCCCCCCTGGGGGGTGATTTCTCGCTTTCTGTCTCTATGTCTCTCTCTGTCTGTCTGGCGAGTGCACGCGCCCTACAGTGAAAATCTCTCAAAAAAAAAAAAAAAAAAAAGATACAAAACAGTTTTTAAAAAAAATGTGTCTTGGACATGTTGTTCCCAAATTCATGAACGCTTTCTGTTCTTCCCATTCTGTAAAGACAAAATACCATTCTGTTGCTGCCGACTCTAGTGTCATGGCGGAGTCTGACGGTCAGAGCTACATGAGGCCCAGCACCACCGACACAGGAAACAGCCAGCCGACCGGTCCACTCGGGTCCAAACTGCACCCGATCCATCGAAGAAGCTATCAGTTCTATTACATGCTTCACTATAAACGTATTAGCAGACTACTCAAAGACTGAAACGAGGATACAATAAAGATCTCTAAGAACAGTAAAAAACCACATCACGTCAAGATCCCACGTACCTCCAGATTCTGACATTCCTGGGCAGAGTTCGTGGGCAGGCCAATCCACTTGATTTCTTTTTTCTCCTTTGAAATTATGTTCATGGCCATTAGTACATTCAACGCATCATAAACTCTTCGCCTAATGTTCTTCTGATCATAAGCCTGCTAAAAGATATTTTTATTGAGCGATAAATGCTAAGGGTTAAGATAGGATCACATTCTATTAGTATCTAAATTAACATTATAATAATATCTTCACTTTCTCTCCCCTCGACCCCCACTCTGTTTAAATTAAATAAATAAAGTTAATGCTAAAAGTTAGTGCTAAAAGAATTCTTCACCCAGTGGGACCAGCAGTTAGCATGATGGCTATGTCGCTGGACTCCTATGTAGTCGACCGCGGTTCGAGTCCCGGACTCATTGGCTTAAACTCCCGCCGGGCACGTGTGCATGTATGCCCCAGATCCAGAGAGGAGAATGGAGGAGAAGGGACTGCGCCGTGGCCATCCCCCCTGGGGGTTGATTTCTTGCTTTCTGTCTCTCTGTTCCTTTCTGTCTCTCTGGTGAGCACATATGCCCTATAGCAAAAATATCTCAAAAAAAGAAAAAAAAGTATTCGCTATAGGGCATGTGTACTCACCGGAGAGACGGAGAAAGTGAGAAATCACCCTATATGTGCAATGGCATGCCATAATCCCTTCTCCTTCATTCTCCTCTTGGGATTTTGGGCATACAAGCACACACGCCTGGCATGAGTTCCAAGCTGCCAGCTTCAGAACTCCAACTCCAGTTGGCCACGAGGGAGTCCAAGATCCCGAGAGGAGAATGGAGGAGAAGGGATTGCGGCGTGGCCAGCCCCCCTGGGGGGTGATTTCTCGCTTTCTGTCTCTCTGTCTCTCTCTGTCTGTCTGGCGAGCGCATGCACCCTATAGCAAAAACCTCTCAAAAAAAAAAAAAAAAAAGTAAATTCCTCTGGTGACTCTCAAAACTACATTTAACAAATTTTATTTGTGTTTAAATAAATAATAAAAAATTGTTTCCAGGGACCAGCAGTTGGGATAATGGCTATGTCAACGGGACTCTCATGTAGTCAACTGTGGTTCGAGTTCTGGACCCAGTGGCTTAAACTCACGCCGGGTGCATGTGCGTGTGCCCAAGATCCCAAGAGGAGAAGGGATTGTGGCGTGGCTATCCCCCCTGGGGGGTGATTTCTCACTTTCTGTCTCTCTGTCTTTTTGGTGAGCACATGTACCCTATAGCAAAAACCTCTCAAAAAAAAAAAAAATCTTTTCAAACCAAAACACAAATCTCCCAACATACAACATGAAACCCTCGAGGAAAGGAGGAGCTAAGGGTTCCCTAGACTATCTGATTCTTCAGACCCAGGACACTGAAAACCCCGGGAGCGGCCCGCAGCACAGCGGAGCATCACCATGCCAAGCCCGCGGCCCACCTACCGAATCGGCTGCCAGATGGTTATTCGAATTGGTGAACTCTGACACCAGCTCATCGGCTACCTCATTATAGGACGTTGTACCTTTTCGCTGAACTTTCTCACACACTTTCATCGAAAAATGTCTCAAGCCTTTTCCGTTCTTATCTCCTTTTTTGCTTCGTTTACTAGAAGAGAAAAAAAAATTTTATATTCCATTATACTTACTAGAGTAAAACTTTGTATACCTCTGTAAGATAACTCAAGAGGAGAATAATTTAATTTTTGTTTCCAGTGGTAAAATTTTAAACATTTCAATGTTTTTTCTAAATTGAATACTTGCCTTAAGAGACTAATAAAGGATGAAGTTAGAGTGCTAGTCGATGCACATCACTCGTCTAACATTTATCGGTCAGTTATACATGCCAGGGACTGCTACGGACCCTGGCAATAAACCAGTGGGAAAAGGAGACAACCCTGCCCTTGCAGAGCTTCCATACTAACCAATACTTACCTTTTTAACTCAGTGTATATTGTTCTATTTCCCCTGAAACTAAAAGCATCATCAGTCTCAATTTCATGTGTCTACTTAAGTTTTAGTTGGAGGTCACTGGTATTATTAATAATATGGGGTCATGGCTCAGCCCAGTGCGGCAGACAAGAGCAAACCAAACGACAGTGCTGGAAGCCAGTTCCGATCCCAGGCTGGCTTGTCATGCCCCAGGTATGTGGGAGCATGCCCCGGGTATGTGGGAGCACGCCCCAAGTTCTGCTGAACTGGAGAGCCAGAGAAAGAGAACAATAGCATGTGAGACCCTGCCAAGGGTGCTCCTCTCTCTCCTCTCTCTCCTCTCCTCTCTCTTTCTCTCTCCCCTCTCTCTCTCATGCACACACATGCACTTAAAATTGTTTAAATATTGGATCTAAGCCTTTAATCACTTTAACTTCTGTTACTGCCAAACCATAAACTTTGGTACTCAGTGATGAGATTCTCTGTGGTTTACGTCTACGAACAGAGCACCACCTGTATGCTAAGAGGTGCTTTGGGAACGGGAGCAAGGCAACACCCTTTTCCTCCATGAGCCTGGGGTGGGGAGAGAGGACAGGGATACGAAGCAGGCATTTGAGGACAGAGAGCTTTACTATAATAAGGTGAGCACCAAGCCTGGTTATCGCCAGGGCCAACACGTGGGTGGGGGTTGGGGCGTTGGATTCCCACATGCCTGACTGGTTTGAGTCCCAGACCTGGTGGCTGGCTGGCTCTCTCTCTCTCTGTCTCTCTCTCTCTCTGTCTCTCTCTGGTCAAATAAAAATAAACAAAGATTAATTCTTTTTTTTTCCCCAAAGATAAAATAGAACTGACTGATTTGGAGGTATGGGAGGCAAATGGTAAAACGATCCCTGGAAGCAGAGTTACTTACTTAAGAAGAGCAGCGAGGGAATGCGTATGAGTCCCTCTTATGAGTGAACCTCTTAATCTGCAGTGTCCAATACCCTAGGTGCCACTCACGTGTGGCTACACCGCACTTGAGAGGTGGGAAGTCTGAACTGAAATGTAACTAAGTTTCAAATACACTACCCTTGAGAGGCTGAGCATGAGAAATGAACGCAAAATACCTCAATTAACTTTCACATTAACTGCACATGAAAATGTAATAGTTTGGCTAAATTAAAGATAATATGAAAATGAATTTCATGTGTTTTTTTATACTTTTACTTTTAAAATTGATTTTGAGAAAATTCAAAATTCCATGTGGCGAGCATTACATTTCTCTAGGACAGCAATGATGCTGCGTTTGACTTGCCTACAGAACCCTGAATGGGTGTACTACTACGCAGCTGTAGTGGTGTACTACAATGGGTGTGTGTACTCACTACACAGCTGTAGTGGTGTACTACAATGGGTGGGTGTACTCACTACACAGCTGTAGTGGTGTACTGCAATGGGTGGGTGTACTCACTACACATTAAAAACAGAGCAACTAGGGGCCGGCAAGTGGTGTGGTGGTTAAGGGCACTGGACTCCCATATGGCCAACCACAGTTCAAGTCCTGGACCTGGTGACTTACTTCCTCACTTTCCCTCTCCCTTGTATTCTTACCCTGGTCAAATTAAAATAAACAAATAAATAAAGTTAAATAAAATAATTAAAAAAAAAAAAACAGAGCAAATAGATACCAAAACCAAAAACCAACTGTCAGTGTTTACAGTGAAAGTAGATGACAAGGTATCTCCGAGAATCCCAGAACACAAATCGTGACAGACAGAGGCTAGGGTGTCTCTGTGATCAGAAAACCAGTACTCTACGTGGCTCCATCTATGAGACACCAGAGCACGGTATGCCAACGACACCATGGGCGAGCTCACTGGCGAGCGCAGCAGGCCTCCTTGAGAGCACAGCTGAGCGAAGAGCTCTGCCCCGTGCAGTATCAGCTGGCTGTTCCAAACCAGAGGGTGGAGCGGATCTAGACTGTTTATGTCTAAATGACGTTCAGAAGAAAAGACATCAGATTTTTCAACAGCAGGTGCTATGCCAGGAAAAAGTAAATATATTTATGGACCTGAGGGATCCACAGAAACACCGCATTAAAACAACTGGGCCTGGAACCAGCAGGTGGTGCGGAGGTTAAAAGCGCTGGATTCTCACATGGCTGATCCCAGTTCAAGTCCCAGACCTGACAGCTTGCTTTCTCCCTTTCCTTTTCCCTCTCTGGTCAAATTTAAAAAATAACAATGACAAATAGAATTAAATAACTTTTTTTCTTTTTTTTGAGAGGTTTTTGCCATAGGACGTGTGCGCTTGCCAGACAGACAGAGAGTGACAGAGAGACAGAAAGCGAGAAATCACCCCTCAGGGAGGATGGCCATGCTGCAATCCCTTCTCCTCCATTCTCCTCTAGGGATCTTGGGCACGCACGCACACGCACCCGGCGTGAGTTTAAGCCACCTCATCCGGGAGGCGAACTGTGGTCAACTACATGGGAGTCCAGTGACATAGCCACTACGCTAACTGCTGGTCCCTAAAACACATTCTTTATATAAGTTGAGCATCCTGAATCTGAAAATCTAAAATATGAAATATCCCCAAATCCAAAACCTTCTGAGAACCAAAATGCCACCACAAGTGGTCAGTGGGAAATTCTTTTTTTTTTTGGGGGGGGGGGGGAGGTTTTTGCTATAGGGCGCGTTCGCTCGCCAGACAGAGAGAGACAGAGAGACAGAAAGCGAGAAATCACCCCCTGGGGGGATGGCCACGCCGCAATCCCTTCTCCTCCATTCTCCTCTCGGGATCTTGGGCACGCACGCACATGTGTCCGGTGTTGAGTTTGAGCCACTGGGTCTGGGACTCAAACCGCAGTTGACTATGTGGGAGTCCAGTGACATAGCCATTATGCTAACTGCTGGTTCCTCTTTTTTTTTTTTAAATAATTATTTACTTTGTATTTATTCACTTATTTATTTTAATTTGGCCAGAGAGAGAAAGAGAGAAAGAAGGAAAGTGAGAAAGCAAGCCACCAGGTCTGGGACTCTAACTGAGGTTGGCCATGTGGGAATGTCCAGCACCCTAACCACCGCACCACCTGCTGGTCCTAGCCAGTGGAAAATTCTATACCTGGCCTCATGTGATGGGTCATAGTCAAAATGCTGCAATACGGAAATATTATATATGATTACCTTCAGGATATGTGTACATGGTGTATATGAAAAAATAAATAAAGTCTGTGCTTAGACTTGGGTTGCATTTCCAGTCCCCAAGATAACTAGAAATAATTATTTCAGAATCCAAAAGTATCTAAAATCCAAAATACTGTGGTACCAAACATTTTGGATAAGAGATAGTCAACCTGTAGACAGCCTCGCAGTCTTCATTCAGAGACTAATCATTTTCATTTCAGATAAAATTTTAACACATTTAGCCATTTTGTTTCTTGGTACCTGGCAAATGAGAAATACCAAGTTAGGAAATGGAGAACACAGAAAATCGTTAACTGGTGAGCAGATGATCTCAGGGGAGGAAGAAGACTAAAACATCATTTTTAAAAAAAGTTACAAAATCCCCCCTCCCCACCTTTTTAGAGGTTTTTGCCATACTGCACATGGCATGCCAGAGAGACAGACAGAGATAATGAGAGGGAAAGTGAGAAATCACCCCCCGGGGAGATGGCCATGCCACAATCCCTTCTCCTCCATTCTCTTCCTGGGACCTTGGGCATGTATATACATGCGCGTGGCCTGAGTTTCAAGCCGCTAGGTCCAGGACTTGGTCCGTGCAGGAGTCCAACAACGTAACCACTAGGCCACCTGCTGGCCCCAGGAGTCATAAAAATCTAAGAATAAAAAGTAGAACTGGCAAGCTTTGATTTAAAACAGCAATACTTTCAGAGTTCAACGGCTTCTGAGACTATGAGTCTTTTTTAAACTCAAAGCAACATTAATATAACACCTGGGAGGGCTGGCAGGTGGTGTGGTGGTTAAAGTGCTGGACTCCCCCATGGCCGACCACAGTTTGAGTCCTAGACCTGGCGGCTTACTTTCTCACTTTCCCTCTCTCTCTCTCTCCCTGTCTCTGGTCAAATTGAAAAAGTAGTAATAAATAAATTAAATAAATAATTATTTTTAAAAATGGCACCTGGGGTAGTGGCCAGCATGGAACATTCGACCTATGTTCAAATAATGACCTTACAGCCTAGTTCTTAATCCTTGAGTTTCTGACCTCGTAGGCATTTATATTTTATTTAACAGACCAAGTGACTAATGCATGCCCAGAAAGGAAAGGTGGAATCATATCTAGCATGCTGTTTAAAAAACAAATGAGGGTGGGACCAGCAGTTGGCGTAATGGCTTTGTCGCTGGACTCCCATGTAGTCAACTGCGGGTC